CCCTGCCCTGCCCTGCCCGGCGCCCTCTGCCTCCTGCCCAGACATCGGTGAGCCGGGACCCGTCCGCCCCTTTGAGGGCGAGAGCAGGAGAATGGTGGAAAGGCGCCGGCAGCCGGGGCTGTTAGCCATGAATTGTTGTTGTCTTGTCTGGAGGAAGGGCCAAAGCTCGCGGCGTCAGGCTCGCCCGACTGCCCTTGTGTTGGTTGTTGGTTTTTCCTATGGGGTCTGAGATCCATCCGGATCATGATCCATTCGGGCGGAGAGGCGTTGGATGGAAAAACCGGGGAGCTGCAGGAAGGCATCCTTTCGCTTGCCAAGAAGCCGCCTCGTTATCATTGCCGTATCATTTTGAAATCGCACCGCAGCCAAGCTTTCCGCGCGCTCTAGCAGCAGAAGGGGCGGCGGTGGGGGAGATGTGCCGAGGAAGCTCTCGCAGCGTTGCGACGGGTGGCAGTCTCTGGACGTGTTGCTTTCAGCGGCATCCTGGGCTGAACCCTGGAGTAGATGAAGCAAAAAAAAAAAAAGGGGGGGGTAGTAGCATATCATCGATTAACCAGATCTATGGTTAAGGGCATTATGAATGTTTAATACATACATCCATAAAGCTCCTGATGGCGAGTGGCATTTTTCACCTTGGAAAGATGAGCACTTCTAAGGTGTCTGTTAAGATGCAAATGCCGTCCGAAAAAGGTAATTACAGCATAGGAAATACGCTGTTCGTTTCCAAATGCAGGGCATGTAGATGTACGCAAATACATGCAGATTTAATCAGCCGACTGAAATTCATTGTCCAACTAAAGTTTCTTAAGTCAGATCTTTGGCCTAGTTACAGGCTGAAGCATCTGTATTGTTGCACCAGTGAAAACTACAGGGAGTCCCAGTGCAAGGCAGGGGGGAGACTTCCATTCCCAGAAAAAGGCGTTTCCAAACTGTTGAACAAGATAGATACCAGATCAAATAACTAAAGAGATTAATTCAAAAGTGGATACTGTATCTCAAAGAGAGCGTTTAAAGTATTATGTTAATGTAGTTTGTTTTGTATTACCATTAGCACACAAACACCCTACGAATTTACATTGAAGTGTAGAATATAATTATATAGCAAATAAAAGTTCTGGCAGAAGACCGTCTTTCCATAATCTTGCTCCCTCCATGCTTCTCTGTTGTTTTAGATCTTGCATGCCATATTATAGGAGATGCCAATTCACATAATAGTGCAGCAATCTGAAAATGCAGCTGAGTGTGCATTACCTGATAATCTTCAGGAAATTTCAGCTGTTGGGCCACCTCACCCAACTGCTCTGAGGAGTCATTCATTCCCGCTTCTCACTGCAATCATATCTGTGGTAAGTTAATTATCATAAGCACATGTTATAATGTCACGTGCTACCAGGTTGGGAACATGTCACTATATATTTTCTGTTCATTCATGTGTTTGTTCACTTTGATTTAAGAAGAAATAGGATTTCTAAGGTGGCTTCCAACATGGTGATTCTATGATCAACTTTCAAATATTTTTTAAATGTACAGAGAACAAAACTGAGTAGTGATTTCAAGGAAAAAAATACTAAATGCAATAAATCATACAAGACTGGATTTTTCAGACTCTACAACAATTCTTTGCATGTATAAATGGCAATTGAGCAACATTTTGCATTCTCCTTTGATGCATGTGGAGACTGATCATTCAGTAATAGATTAACCTATTCTGTTTCTGACCTACCTTGGTATACAGCATTCAGTTGTTATATTAAGGAATTCTGAAGTCCTGTAATAGAATGGGCAATAAAGTACTGTAGTATGTGGTCTTCTGTTTCTGCTTCCTTTAGCTTGCATTGCTCTTGGGATTTTATATTTACCCTCCAATAGGACAGAGAGCAATGTGTTTACTCAGGTTAGGGAAAACCCTCAAGTTCCTATAATAAATTATCTTTATCACATGATTTGTGGGGACAAAGGGTGTCTTATTAATCTCCCATGGGGAAAAGGGGACAGAGCTCATGTCCTTCTGATGGTCAATATACAAATTGCCTTCTTCTGCATTCCATAGTCCCCAAACATCTGTTAATGCCAATTCTTCCATATACTGAAATACCTTTTTGGAAGTTTCCCACCTTTTTTTGTGTGTGTTGCTTTGTCTAAGTTCAAATCCATAACTCCATATCTCCCCAAACAAGTATTTACCGTTCTTCACATTTTATTAGTTTTTGGAAAAAAAGCTAGAACATTAAGAATCTAAGTATATGATATAAGTATTGTATTGAAATAACATTGTATTGAAACTGAGATGGAGCAATAGGTCATCTATATGGCTAGATGTAATAATATGTTAAAGGACTGAGCCACTGACATACCACAGTATATAAACAGGGAGCAAACCCCATCCCATTCTAGCACTGCAGGTGTTACCTAGCCGGGTAACAAAACATTTGCAGGAAAACAACCAAGCTCAGAGAACCCCAGGGACTCCACAGTTCAACCCTGAGCTACACATATTCTCTTCTAATGCTATATTAAACCTTTATGGATATATCTTTAGTTTCTTCAAATGTCTCTCAATTACTATTCTGTATATTCTTTTCTGATTATATTAGCACTGTTACAGTTTGGTTGTACTTCATCATACTTTCTGGTTGTTATATTTCACCAATCAAATATTTTAAAAAAACAACAATATTGCCTGACTTCAGTTTTTGCTGCTTCTGGACCCAAAGTAATCACTAATGGTGATGAAAACCAAAAGTACTTGCCAGTTTGGTGTTGTGGTGAAAGTGCTGGACTAGAAACCAAGAGACTGTGAATTCTAGGCCCCTCTTAGGCATGAAAGGTGTCTGGGTAACTTTGGGCTGGTCACTGTCTCTCCACAAGGTGGTTGTTGTGAGGAAAATAGGCAGGAATATTAGGTATGTATGTCGCCTTGAAGTACACATTAAAATGGGATAAAAATCTAATAATAATAAAGTAATATTTCATATCTTGTTCAATTTCTTTTTCCCAGGATGAGACAAACCTGTCCAGGAGTAATAGCAACTAGGGATCAAACTTTAAAAACTAATTTAAATAAAAAATTCAAACAACAAATCCAATCTGTACAAAGTAGTATAGTGTATAGTATAGTACAAAGATATTCCAACTGTGTTACAGTAGTACATTTGCAGCAACATAAGGAACATGAAAATGTTCTCTAAGGAATTTTGACTCCACAGTTTAGGTCTTCTGCCATTCCCATTAATAGAGGTACGTAAACCATACATAATGTTTTAAGCCTCCAAAATCTTAAAGATGGCCAGTGTATAGTTGCTTCTCTAGATGCAGAACTCTAGTTCTTGAGCAGCTAAGAGCGTTATCTGTGATGATGCTTATTCTCCCCAGTCACTTGAGGCTTGGAAAATAATGTCTCTGAATCTGAAAGATCAAACATGGCCTATGTTTGTCCTATCTATACCTAGTATGCTGATAAAACTTAGGGCATTGGGAAACATATTTTTATTTAATTATAGTTTATAGTTTGACCTCCTTGCAATAAATGGCAAGGCCCCTAAGGCTCATCCTCATACCAGTCTCTGTGATACATAAAATTGCAGCATCAGTGCATATTGAAGTACAGCTAATGGCTTATCTGTCCATTCTGAAGGATAGAATTCTTGCTTAGTAGTTTCATCCATCTGTTCACATATATGTTGAACATAAGGCTAGAATACACCCTTGTTCCACTCTGTTCTGAGTGAGGATTCAGGTAAATGGGTCAAATTGTGGCCACCATAATTCCTTTTCTTATGGTCTTACTAAGCATTCTGATTAGATGCAATAGTCTGTTGCTGATGATGGAGTATTGGTGAAGAATTATATACTGGTTGACTTCCTGGTTTAAACCTGACTTGCACGGCAACCAGAATGTTACTCTATGCTGGCCAGTCTAGCAGCTTTGAATATAGTTGGTAAGCATATGGTTTATTGGCCATAATCAGCAGGCCAATTGGATACTAACTGTCTGGATTCATTTTTTCACCTCTTTTTGCAGATTGGGATAGTTATAAAACTATCCTGGAGTACCATCATTCTCATTCCTATTGATGAAGTATTGAGTCTGAAAATGGTGATTTGCCCATACCTGTGTCTCCTGGCAATCAAGAATTCCTCTATTTAGACTCACAAATACTTAAATCTTCTGCACAGATTTATTTGGATGTTCCCACTTCCTTTTCCTCTAATGTATTTTCAGTATTGGAGAACAGAATCTCATTAAGACTGGACTGCAATGAACTGGTTTTGGTCAAATTCAGCTTTAGAACAAGCAAGAGGATTTAAAATAAGCAATTAATAATTAATAAATGGCTCCTTCAAGCATGAGAAGAGTTTTGGCTCTCTTGAAGACATAATAAAATTCAGAGATGGGATATACTACTCATTTCAGAATTATCTTGTTCTCCTGTGATTCAGCTCATTGGGTTTATTTCTTATGTTTCTCCACATATGTGTCTCATTCTTCTCAAATACATTTTCTCTTAGTTAATATTCCTTTATACTGCACTTACCTGAACTGCATTCTAGCTATATCCTTTTCTGCACTGGGTGATACTTACATTATAGTATCTGTAACTTGTTTTGTAGATAGATAAGTGGGATGTGGGGTTTTTTTTCATGGTTTTCACATTTGGATATTGACTTGAACATATATGTTTAATTCTTGAATAGAGTGAATCTTACG